GGAAATTTGTTTAGACTTTATGGTACCTACTTGACTATTATTATAATATCCATATTGGCATACAGTTCGTATTTGTTGAAAATACATTTTTTCCTCAAAACTCTTTTATGTATATTTACTCTAGTAAAATATTATGCAATGTGAATGGTGAATAATTATGCATTATACATTTATGCATGCATATATTGCAATATAATAGTTTGAATAACAACGGGAAAAAGTGTTACAGATTTTATTTTTCACATTGAATATCAATAAAATTTTTATGGTTACTTAATAATATTACAATACATTAATAACTGATCTATAAGATATCTGTTATAGTGCTACTATAGGAAGGAAATATATTTCATAATTATACTTATTTTGTTAGAGGTTATATTTGATCAATACAACTTTTATATCCGTAATGACTAAATTAACGCTTGCCAAATACACTAAATTAAAACATATTTTAACCTCGAAGGCTTATTTAAAATACTAATATTAATAGTTGGAAAATCGCTTATAATATATAAAATAAATAACTGATTAATAGAATAATAAATATTAAAGCTACATATACAAAATCAATACGATAATAATTCGAATATGCACAACTATTCGCCTACATTTATGAACCGTAGGACACTTACTACTTAAAGGCCAGATTGGCCATAAATATTCAATGATTCGACGTAGAAGAGTATGACAGCAAAAACAATTTGTTCCGCGGTCAAAACTAAACAGGGTTTACTAATTGCATAATACTTAATCGGTACCTATTGGTATTGAGAATCATAATCGGTTTGTCAACCGCGTGACCGCGTCAAGATCTGAAATGACAGTACGAGATTAAAAATGGACGAGATACGCAATCACATTGTTCACAAAAGCTTTCGACAAGCTCAAGATACAACTTGCGACTAAACACATTTAGTATCCGAATGTTCAACATTTCATTATATTACTAATTGCTGTGATATCAAGAAATCGGTTATTTTCTATAACGTGACTATAAATATCCGTAAAAAAAAAAAAAAGTAATTTTTCATTCACTTCAAATTGAAATTGTTTTTCATGTGTGCCGTCAATTTTGGTAAGTTTAGTTAATGTTCAATTTCAATTCACCTGTATACCATTGATTATAAATACTTATTGATACCCAATAATATTTAAAATCATTGATAATACATATTACAAAAATTATTATAATAATACATTTATCTCGGGTAAAAAACAACATTTGTAAATATTTAAGATTTTACATTCCATTCTATAACCATCGATGCAGCTGACTTTGTTTTAATCACAAAAATAAAATATATTATGTGTAGGCAACGACATTAATGAAATGCAGCACATATGTTTTCTGTATACATTTTACTGTTCATTGAGTTTTGACATTCTGCATAATGAGTAATAAAAATTACAACGTTGTACTGCAGTTACCGGTAACCCGCGTGTTTATTAGTATACACATTATTTAATACGCACGGAAAAAAATAGGATGTTAATTGTTGTGTTAAAACGTGTTAAATAATAAAACAGCGAGATCAGTACGTGTAATTAAACAATATTAAAACTTGTAAGACATTAAGATGTTTAGTCGTAACATTTGTATTACATTACATAATAAGCACTTATTGTATAAAATAAACCATATACTTATAAAAAATGGTTACACGTCGTTCGTTTCGTTAGTCTTATGAATTCGTTTTTGATCAATAATTTAAAAATGTACTCATTGAATACATTATGATTTTGTTAATTCCTCTTATCATTTTCTATAATCCTGATTTTAATTATGTGTTTAACGACCTTACGTGTATAATATATGTATTTAGCAATAATAATATGTAAAACTATTAATTTGTTCATAAAAGCTTTAAGAAAAATATTAAACGTCTAGAACTGCCTAAAACGTGATTATAAAGTCTAAAATACATAAATAAACATTGTATATAAAATAAAAAATGTTAAATGCCAGACAAATATTTAAAAGTTTTTGAACTATTGGCACACTGAAACGTACTTTTTATGACAAAGTGTGGACAAGGAAACACATTTTGATAAAACTAGTTTTAATGACGTATTTAGCATTAAAAAAAATTTAAAAAAAATAATTTTCATTTATTATTTTTTGTCTAACATTTAAATCTACTTGTTAAAACATTTTATAGGTAATAATTGAACTACAGTTACGAGGCGAATAATTACTCGTTTGTTAACTATACATTTAGTTTTTAATCGACAAATTAACACACATTGTTTCAAATTGGTATAAAAGTATATTTAAACAAATTATGAAACAAATTATGTAGAACTTATATAATATTGTAATATATACTATAAATGTTCGTATCAATCGAATTATTACTTTTTTAACTTTCAAATGTAAATCGGTGCTGTATGAAATTATCCAAAAGGAACGGATGGCTCTAACTTTGTTACTACAACAATGGTATATTATGATCGATTTCACAAAATATGGGAGATCAGTTTCAATCAAAATTAGAACACACGCATTTTTGTACGGTTGCTTATCGAAAGTTTCAAAAGCGAACGTAGTATTATAATGTTCTAAATCGATATTGGCTGAATGCATTCGAACACTATAGAAACATGTGACGAGTATCAATGATGTTTTTACAATTTATTGTAAAAATGAGCCACGGTGTGGAGCAAAAGTAAATTTGTTTACGTTAGATATCGTATTACAAATGGTTTCTGTACTGACGTAATTTGTTACGTTTTGAGAAATGCTCTCGCAATAACGTCCTGAATACTAAAAGTAACCCAATTTATCGACATAATTATTCTCAATTCATAATTACAGGATGGTTGTATAATTATGTTATATCACTTTCAAAGAAAATTTTTATTATTTGACGGTATTGTGGCAGAATGTGATTATTGTTACGCGTTGCTAACGAACGTGGTTCACAATAATGTTACATTCATCACGTGTGTACGCTTTTACGCACTAACATATTCTATCTGGATCTAAGCTCCATGCGTCCAAAACATATTAGTGTAAAAGAAAATTAAATATGCCGTGTTTGTTAAATAATTAATAATAAGTACGCTAAAAACAAGCGCAAAATTGTATGAAAATACTTAATAAAAACGAGTAAGCAGAGTAAACTTTTTTGGCGTTTTAATCAATTGCTGGATAAACGTACGTACGTTACGTAGGTATAAATATGTAATTGAAATTAAATCTGGGAAAGTATAATATTCATGTGTGTGGTGACCATTGGGTTCATTAAACATTCAATACTTCCCCTGAAAATTAAAAAGGCTCTTGTTCGTACACATACGGTTAAAAAATTAACAGCAATGTACACATTAGCATTTAATTATTCACATCTTATCGTCATCGAGTGCAACGATGTAACCGATTTTCGTCTTGATTTTTTCAATAATGTACAATAATGTATACTTAAAATAATATTCATAATATTAGGGTCATGTATTTTTTATCTTTTTTTGACATATTTTCTCTTGTTACGAACAAGACACGAACCGTAGACATTAGAGTTATCGTCCAATCGCTGAGATTTCTTTTATAATATATTTTCAACTTAGCAGTAAAGTTAAACGGATAACTTACTGAGGTCGTAATGCATCTTATATTATCTGTCCACGCCCAGTTTCTTTTGACTATTTTTCGTTCCCGCAAAACATGTATTCATCTATGGCGTATTTGAAGTGAGGGGTGGCAATATGTGCATTCCCTCCCCCCTCGAAACTTTTTTAATTATTTTTTGGAACCTGTGATCATAATATTATATTATGATAAATTCCATTATTATGACTACTCACATATCTTGGGTCCTAAGCAAATACACTACCCAAATTTTTATTACAAAAAAACCGCCTCATCAGTATCACGTTCTGTGTTATAATCATAGATAATCTATTATCTATAGTTATAATTAATAATAAATATTCGTGTTAATAGTTTAATTTTATTATAGTTTATAGTTTATAGTAAAATATTTTATTAGACCGGTGTAATTTAACTTATGATTTTAAATATTTATACAAGTATTGTATAACAGTAACTAGCAACTTAACAAAATCGAAAAAATACATGTTTTCGATGGTAGAAATTGTATATAAAATTAATTTATTGTTAACAATTAAGACTTTTATATTATGGGTAGCACTAACTGATTTCGAAATTAATTAAAAATCTTCATTATTTATTTAACCATCAAGAAGCTCAAATTATGTTCCGGTGACTAAGTAATACGGAAATGTCTATCAATTACCAAGAATACATTCAACGGACTTTGAACAAGCAAAAAGTCTACGAAGCGTGTAAAGGTTCTCAGCACAAAAACACAAAATAAATAATATTTTTAATTTTTTTTTACGTAACTCGGTTTCCAACGATTCTTTATTGAACTAAATAACTAACTGAGCATTTGAAAAATTTGTATTGAAATAGAAACAATCAAAATGACTGATTCCTTTACGAAAGCGCAACTCTTTTAAACCCAGAAGATAAAATACCCGAAAATAAGTTTAGCAATTGAAAATAAATATGGGCAAAAATCGTACCCGCTAAATATAAAAACATCACAACTATATGAATACTTTTTGTTAATGCATGTTTAGGTTAAAAAAAAAAAAGATTGAAAAAATTGAATTAACAATAATAGCGAATGGTCGCAAGGTTTATTTCAGAGGTGACCGGGGGTGGGGGTATAACCAGCCCGAATGTTTATTTATTTATTAATTATTTACTACTATGACATACCGCATACCACGTATACCCCGGGATAAAAGATCTGAAATAAACATTGAACGGTTGCGTTTCCGTACAGTAAGGTGACGGACAAAAGAATAATAATGGCCATCTCGATTTCTAGTAAAAAATCCGCCGCGAACTACGGATTAGGTTACGTGAGGTTGGAGTTAACCATGGACCCACCCATTAGCAAGACCACCCTTATACGTCACGTTACGTTCGTAATATACACGTATGTTGTTGTTGCGAGAAAACTTACATAACGGCAACAGGCCGCTGTTGAGCATGGACAGCTTGATGGTGTTCGGAATGGACACTACGCTGTTGGAGGACGCGGACGACGCGGACGACTTTTTCTTCTTCTTGGGCTTGTCGTCTACGTACTTGGGCGCCGACTTGGACCGGCCCGCGTGCCGGTACGCGGTCTTGCCGCCACTGCGGTGGTGATAGTCGTTCGGGTAACAGCTGCTGCCGGTGCTGCTGGCGCGCCCGCCGCCGTCGCCGGCTACCGACGAGTCGCTCCTGTACGACGACAGCTTGACGACGGGTATGGTAAGACGGACGTGGAACACGGGAGGCACGCGCTCCGGACTGCCGACGGGACGGGACACCACCGCCGGGCGGTGAGCGACGCGGGACCGGTCGACGGCGGAGCGTGCGGTGTGAACACAACCGCGCGAACGCGCGTGGCGACCGGGGACGGACGCGAACGGACGGAAAACGGGAAAAAACCGGACGCGTACGCGTTACACGACGGTACGATGAATGCGTGTGTGTTCGCGTCGGGGGGACGTGTTGGTTCGCGGCTTTCACGCGTGTACGAGGCCGACGGACGCGGTGCACTCGCGAATGACTAGGCGCGCGAACACCGTCTTGCTCGGAGTGTTAACGGAAAACGCGCGCGTCGCAACGATCCTCGTCGTCGTCGTCGTCGTCTGGCGACAATGGTACGCGTGAGACTAACGGCCGTGCGGAGGCGGTCATGTGTCGTCGTCATCGCGTAGCCGCCGCCGCCGATGGCGCCCGTGCAGGCGCCGCCTGTTCCGACGCTGTGTCGCGCGGGCCAAGCGGACCCGGTCGTGCATTGTTTTCCGCGTTGCCCCGCCGCCGCCCGTCCGCCGACCGTGCCGATTTTTAACCGTCCGTCGCGGACATCCAACAGGTGAACGGACGACGGCATGACCGCTATGATGGTGACATGGGGGATGATGATGATGATGATGATGATGACGATGGGGAAGCGTCGCGTCCGCGCGCGGCGGTGCCCTATCGAGCCCGGTACATATTTTTCGAACGATCCGATCGAGCACCGAAAAAATATGATGCGTCTGGTCCACGACCTGTAACCGCCCGGACCACCGCTATGCTCTCGGTGTCGAAACTTTTCACTTGGTTCACTACGGTTCTTACTAGAAACGGTGACAACAACTCGATCTGCAGAGACCATAAACCACCATAGGTTTGATTGAAAAACAAATAGTTAATGTGACCATAATTGTGGCTTTCGTGGAATAATTTAAAAATAAAATTTCGATAATTTATAACAAATAATTAACGAAATTGGGAAATTTCAAAAATATCGTTTTGGTTTATAATAATTTAAATAACTAATTTCAATGTATAAAACAACTATAGTAAACGGAACCGAAACTCGTATTTTTTTTCCAACATTATGTTGTATTTTGATATGTTTTCTTAATTCCTTTTGTTCGATTGCATCTGTGCTCAGTCGGACCATGAAAAAGGTAAACGATGCTTAATCGGGTTGCAAAAATCACGTCGGTACAACTATATAATTATTTAATATACATTCCAATGGCCGGGGTCATACACGTAGCTCCTAAAAAAAAAAAAAAAAATCTTATACAAACCGTGGTCGATCCCGTATAATATACAAAAATATTATTGATTTTTATAATTTTAATATTACGCAATGAAAACGAATTTATTTCCTGAAACCCAGGAACAATATAAATAATATAATCCATATTATTATTGGGTTATACGGTCGCCCGCAGCGAATAGTACCCGCGGGTAAATTTTCATTATCACATCGTGGGCGAAAGGGGCGGGAACAATAGATAAATAAAACAGGTTACTCTAGCAGGTATATTTGAGAACAACCTGACCCACGGGACGTAGCACGCGTGTACATGCTTTGCGAAAGGATTCCAGAGAATTTTTTATTTCTTAACACTATGACGTTGAAAAAAGGAAGGTGCTGGAAGATATTCTAAACGTGCAGAGCTAGTGATAATATTACACATTGGATGTGGAATGATTTCAACAGATGTGTCCGCCGGGAGTACTACAAGACACTGAAAACAAAAAATTTTATATTTATGTATAATGGGGAAGTTAATCATCATTGCACTCATATCTGTTATGTTTTGTACGTATTTTAATTTTAAGTTTTAGAGCAGTCAAAACTGAGTCGTCCTAATTTGGTAACAAGAATAGAGATCTCTATTTAAAGTGCTTGTTGTTACTCATTAAAAATGATAATCATTTTAATAATTCACCACATCTACATTTGTTGTTTTAAAAATCTCAGTGTCGTATTCGTCTATCCTTCATCAAAAAATCTAATTTAAACCTAAAATTAATTTTTAAGAATAGTTTCAAGTTACTATTTTAGTGAAACTTATTGATGAATGTGAAATATAATTCTCCAAAAAAATAATGAAAACATACCATTGTAGCAGTGTAAGGGTATTAGGTTGATACCTACTTTCTAGATATAATGCGTATATAACGAATTACATGCCTTTTTGCGTGAACTACAGAAGCGAGCATGTCGTAGAGATTAACGTACACTTGAAGGAATTTCGGCATTTGACCCTTTTGCGTAGCGAGTAAATGCAACGTTAACGATCCCCTTCTCTCGTACTTTTGCCGCACTAACATCACAGGCAACCGAGACTTTTGGTAACTGTTGTTGTTTTTATGTTTTTGCGATGTAGTCATCGCAGATGAAATGAGTTTTAAATTTAATGGAATTTATCTAGACATAATACATTAAGAGTATATTATATATTAACACAAGTTCCTGTACGATTGATAGTAAAATGGAACCTCGATAAATCGAATGGGTTAGGGGATAAAAATTCTAAGTGTCAAAAATTCGATTTGCAGACAGCTTCGAATAGGTCGTAGGCAAAAAAAAAAATTTCTAGCTATCGAAAATTGTAATACAGAATTTGATAAATAATTTTTAAACGTTTCTGGAATTAATACTCGAATAATTATAAAAAAAAATTATTCCGAATATGTATTCAAATTCTTCATAAAAATATCATTCCAAATGCACTATTTAAAATACTAAAAAGTATTAAGAAAAATTTTTTGTTCTATGATATTTGTCTACATGTTAATTTTATTGACAACATAATTTATCTTTTCGTCATTTTTGGATCATTGGCCATTGCTATAAAATTAAAAAATAACCATGTTATCCCGTTGAAAATAGTAGAAAACGAAAAAAAATAATATTACTGTTATCATATTATATAGGGTAAAGTAAGATATTTTCGTGGCAGAGACAATTTCGTAATATTATTTTTTGAACGCATAATGTTATTCCCAATTACACGATTGACTTGAAAATACCATTGATCCTTAAAATGACTGCGTTTTTAAGGATCAATACCCTCAAAAAATATTACTATGAAACTGCCTGTGCTACAAAAATACTTTACTTCATCTTACCTTCTAATACACGAGTATGAATGCAACTTATGTGACAGGGAAATTGTAAATTTATTTCCAAAAGATGATCGAACGTTAAAAAATGTACTGAAAATACTGTACTAAATATTTTCTAAAAAATTTATTTAATATATTTTTGGCAACACAAAAAGAGTATTTTGAATGTAATATTTCGGATACAGTCATCGGAATCCTACCCAATTCTGTTATAATTTATACACAATCGGTTTTCGTAGTTTCATTACAAAATTTTCTGGTGAACAGCCCTTATCAAACAACAGGCAGTAGCCACGGGTTTGACTTTGAACCTAGATTTAATCAATTTTTTTTGGCGACAAAATACATCCACATTAGAACAACGAAATTCCGTCTTGTTGCAGTACATAGGATTCACGCGAGTAGACAACACTAGATGGTATTTAATTACCAAACGTCTATGCAAAAAAAAAAAAAACCAAAACTCACTAAAATGTTCTTTGATCCGATCCACTCCAGCACTCGCCACAGTTTTTTGTCTTGCTAAAATTCTTCATTGACAATAATTCCCACAAATCTGTAGTTAATTCATTAAATTATACTGAAATGTCTATAGATAAAATATAAAATATAAATTTTTACCGAACATTTAGTTTGAACGCTATTAAACCTATTTTATGAACAATAAGATGTTAAATAACGCAAAAAACAATTAACACTCTTCTACGTTCATCATAAAACTTAATTTCGTGGTAAAAATTCTACAACTAAACTAAACTCAATTTATTGCTAAATAATTCTCACATTAGTAAACTACTATAAAATAAATCTTCAACTAAATTATTAGGTAGGTAATAATAATTTGAAGGACTACTGATACCTTCAATAATTGTCAATATTCCTAAACTGTTAATCATTGAAATTACAAAGTTTCAGAACTAAGCAAAGAGATAAATTACGAAATATTTCATTAAAATTTACTGTGGTAGTATAACTTTTAATAAAATTAAAAAAAATAGGAATTTAATTTATTTTTTACAACTATATTACAAAAAAAACAACTATCGCCCCGAACAACATTTAATAAATTGTTATTTTGGAACTAATAATAAATTATAAAAATTTTTGAAGTCATGATAACCTATTAATGGAACTACCAATTAACTACCATTAGTAGAAATTACTCAGTTCGTATTAGACATAATATTGACTCTAAAAGCTTCATACGGTTAAAAATTACAATGAAGACTTATCGAAATACATTATAAATATTGTAATAATTCTCAATCACATTTTTTTTTCACGTTTTGAAAACATTTAAGAGCACACAAGTAAATCATTTTCAGGCTAAAATATACAACAAACAAAATAACGAATATCGCGAAAAACAATGCAACAATCACGTCAACCAAAAAATACTCGTACCACATCAAATCGATAGCACGAGATTTTAAATGCGGTGCCCCTTTGTGGCGTACAACATACTCGGTCCAATATACGACCGATTCCGCTGGTGACATAGGTCGGTCTTTGAATCGTTCGGAAACTAATTTGGCGTTGTTCCTATACTTCTCTTCGTTGACGAGCTGTACAACCGCGTTTAAGAGCGTTTCTTTATTCACGGTCAACAGGTCCATGGAAATCGCCATGCCTGCGTCCACCAAGTTTTCCAGGTTCCTCGGTTGATCGTAAAAAAACGGAAATCCTAGTACTGGTACGCCAGCGTCCACAGCTTCGTACACTCCTGATATACCACCGTGACTGATGAACAATTTCACCTTAGGATGCAATAACACGTCACGTTGCGGAAACCAATTCATGGTCATCACGTTCTCCGGTTTGTCTTTCATCTCACCCTCGTATTTCCACAAAACTCTCTGGGGAAGTTGAGCGAATACTTCTTTAAACGCGTTCTGTACGTTTTCCGGTAGCGACGACATCAACAATACTGATCCGAACGTAAAGTAAATCACTCCGTGAGGAGATCCTTCGATGAATTCCAGAATGTCTTTTGGTATCCCTTTGGGTTGGGCGAGGTGTATGCCGCCGATTTGCAC